TCCTAAAGCACGTCGGAGTCGACACTTTCCCTTAAGTAAAGCTCAAGGAAAATTTGCTTCGGGACCTCGGAAATTGTCTTGAGAGGGTGGGAAATCAGCTTCCGAGCATGGAAAAGGACAGATCTCCCCGAATCCGTAGTACACTGTATGTGTAAGTTATGAAACCCTCTTTAAACTAGCTAGTAGGCCAGTAAAGCTAAACGACGATGCAGATCCATCACACCATGGAAACACCAGACGCGTCAAGAAGGCAGCATCGACCTGATACGCCGCCATCAGCACGGTCAGGACGCAGCGACACCACATCTTCCAGCAATGCTGCCGCCCGCAATGGAAGGAGGTGAAGGAGAAGAGGAGGAGAAGTGCTTGATCAGGGGGACTCCCAGATGAAGTAAAGGAGGCTCGTTATATTGGTTAAAAAGGGAAACGTGATCTGGTCGAAGCTATCAAGAAGTTCGCGCTCAAAGACTACAATATTGACCGACTTGAGAATTGCTCCAACAGACATGCATCAAGAAGCCATCAATGCAATTGACGACCTTGTCGATATCTGCAAAAAGGAGGGGAACGACTCTCTTTATACTGATCAAGGGTTCGCTGTCATTGTTGATGATAGCGGATACACGAGGGACCCCGATTTGGCTGTTTGGGGGGAGGAACGATTGAGAAACAACTTCCTTGGTAAACTTCGACCAACTAAGAAAGAGGTTGATGGGATAGGCAATGAGAAAGAATGGCGTATGAATCCCCATGTAATCGTCGAATTCAGTTGGTCACATGATTTGGAGAAAAAAGAAATCCCAAGTTTGCGGAACAAATGGATGAAGCAGTGGGACAGATCAACTTTGGCGTTCTCATCAAGACCTTTCCTTCCAAGGGAAAAAACTACCCCCCAAATCGTGATCCTGGTTCAATCCCCATGTGTGGCTATGATATTTATGTGGCTCGTCGTGGTGAGGGTTGGAATGTGACGAAAGCAAACCCCAAAGTCACTTATCGCGTCGGGCGTGACGAAGATGTCAGCTTGGTGATTCTTCCAGGTGATGCCCTTGGTGAAGGTAACTACAACGACATCTCATTCCTTATCCATGCCATCCAGCGAGCGCTTGAAGAAAATAATGTGGTTTTTGAACCACAAGTTGTTGGGAAAGCGGATTAGCGTTTGATTGATTGATTGGATATGGGAGAAGCATCCATAGCGTTGTTTATATTTCTCGAACTATCCCAAGAGCCGTCATCGCACTCCTTCATTGTTTTGTGCGTACATTGCTGCTGCAACGACTTCTTCCTACCGGATTTATCCGCTTCCAGTGTTTATTTCCTAGTGTTTTTGGTGGATTCCATGTGTCGGTTGCCCATTTTCCTGTATGCACAAGTCGGTTGTCGAGACTTCGTGGATTTGGCTAAGTCCACACGTCGACAACTCTATGGCTCCCAGGTAGGTACGTATCCAGCAATCCCAGATGGCCGGCGTGCTAAAAAAAAAAGCCACTATTTTGGCCCGAACATTTGGCCTAACTAAGCACGATCGTTAGATTTTCAAAACAAGTCAAACCGACACAGCTTGGGCAGGGTTAGCACCCTTATAATACGAGGATGCTGACCCTGCCCAAGCTACGTCATGTTGTTGGGTTTTGATGGAGGGAGGGTATATCTTAGCACGGGTATGTTTGGTCGCTCCTGGAGCAAAACCCCCACTCTAAATTCGCAGATGGGGCAAAACCCCCACTCTAAATTAGAGGGCAAATGTGCTTTGAAATCGGTGTCTACACAAATATCCTACTGTGACGTCTTGAGATTGAAACGCTCACATTTTCTTGATTGTCGAAACACATCGGCTCTTTCTATACGGCAACGGATTGATGTAGCTGTAACTGTTGTTGGCTGGAGTTGCTTTGCCTCTGTCGATGTAGTAGCATGTTCGAAATATCAAATAGTAGCAATCCAACGCAATGGCGCCTTCTTCCGCTGTGTCCTCTCTTTCGTCTTCTTCGAGTAGCGCCGGTAGTAGAAGGTGTAGCCGTCGCAAACGTGGTGCCGACAATGGTGGCGAAGCCGCCATCGTGAAGAAGAACCCTCCCAAGTCAATTCGACGGATTGATTACTGCACAGAATGGCCGTTGGAATACAATCTGATGTGCAGTGGCTGTCAATTTTATGTTGGAGCTTCAGCCAGCTTCAAGAAGAAGCCTCGCCACCAAAGCCATACATGAGTGAAGTTCCAATGCAAGAAGCCATGGATGTGCAAGCCAGATAATAAAGTCGCCGCGAAGTTCAATATGGCAGCAGATTGGATAAGAGACGTTGATGCATTTCTCCACGCTCGATTCCATATGAATGCAAGTCGGATCCAACAAACACCACACTCGGCATCTCATTCAGCAACAAAAGACGCAGTGACTACTTTGGTGGGAAACGATACCCCAGATAGTGGCATCCTGGTGGTGGAAGAAGTGGCTGCAGAAGATGGTCGAAAAAGGAAGAAAGAAAAAGAAGAAATACAAGTGGGTGACATCAGCGTGAACAGCCAGGGCAGTTCTTTCTCCATTGAAAACGTCCCACATACACACATCGTCATACCCAAGTGCCAGCATGAATGTCTGAAGAATGTGGAATGTCAAATGAAACATCTCAAGAAGGGATTTACCAACAAGCTTTTCACCGGGGGCAGTGCACTAATGCGATCCATCCTTGGCATTGCACTTGCCAGCTGCCCAGCATTACCTTTGTCCAAAGCAGCCATAATCATCCCATTGATAGTTGCCGCATTCCTAATTGAAACAGGAATTCTTGAAAAGGGGGACGCTGATCGGTTCTCTCAATCCTTTGCTTCCGAGACATATCTCCGCGATCTTATGTTCTCTCTCGCCGCTGAGAACACCCATGAATTGTCCAAACGTCTCAATGGCAAACTGGTTTTCCTTTCCTGTGACAAAGGAAACAAGAAAGGCATTAGTCACTTTGTCAAGATTGTGTCATACTACGACCTGCAAGAAGGAAAGGTGATCAAAAGGGTGTTGGATATTGATGCGAGTGGTGGCACAACAGATCCTTGCGCCGATGCAATAGTTGCTTCCTTGAAGAAAGTTGGATCCATCAGGCTGAAAGGACAAACAACTGACAGCGGCGGTGGTGGTGTGTAAGACAACTTGGCCACCAAACTTCAAGCACGGAACACCTGCCTTCCACAGTACTTGGTACAATCGTGTTCCTTGCACAACCTTCAGTTGACGATGGCCACCAGCGTCAAGGAGTATCTTGGAGATGGAGGACTGGATAAGAAGAATGTCATGTGTTGTTTGCTAGTAATACTGCAGCTTATTGGGAGTAATTTGGTTTTAGATTAAGCTGAAAAGCAAAAGTGAGGATTTTCTGGTGGTGCAGAGCAATTCTTGTGATTGAATTGGATATGAAGGACCCCCGTAACACTTTAACTAAAACTCCCTCGGTTCCTGCATGATGAATTATGCATGCGAACCGGACTAGATGATAATACACACGAGTCAATAGTAAAGAGTGTCATGTATTTTCTCCAACACACTCCTGCAATGGTGCCCTAAGTGGCTACCTGTGGAACGAATAAAACTAAATTAGGCAATCAAACAGGGGTGGATGCCCATGATAGAAAGCCCTGTGCTCGTGAAGAGCTTGCCCTGAAGGGTCTTCGTGAAAAAATCTCCACGCATCTCCAAGGTTGGGCAGTAAACACACTCTGAGGTTGCCTTCTGCCAATCTGGTCGTGAAAAAAAAAGAAACGAATGTTGATAGCCCGAGTTCTTTTGCCCGAACTGCCTTTTGCCATTCTCTGCAAGAATATCGGTGCTTTTGTTGTCCTTCATGAGGATGTTGTCCTTCACAACGTATCCCCTGCTTCTTCAAGGAACAACTTGCCCACAACATGGGCGACATAACATACGTCAGCTCCAATCAATTCCGCTTCCGTGCTGCCTCGAATCATTTCTCGTGTTCGCAGACACAGACAGCACGCGCCACTCCAAAGGACATGACTCCTCCTGTATTGGGAACTGGTAATCAGGATGGACTGTAAATGATGCGTCCAACCCCAAGTGATGAAACGGATATCATCAACTGAGATATCAACTTGTCCTCCACTTGTTTTTCAGGAACTTCAATCCTTGAATCAACTTCCCCCATTCCCATCAACTGTGGGTATTCCTCACACGTGTACAGAGAACAATTGTCAGTTTTTGGAACATCTGGTCTTGCCCTCTTGCACGCGAACAACAGCTTGGCTGCGTTTGGTGTGATAGATTCTCTGGTCTTGTCTCCAAAGTCAGCTCCATCACCAGAACTGAATAAATCGGCAGGTGCCGCGCTGGAACACTTCTTCATTGCTCGAAGTCAGCCGGAAACTCCAAGATCATCTTCTAAGATAGTCAATCATGTCACGACTACCTTGCCTGGATCGGGAAAGTCCACCGTCATCCCAAGTAGTCATGCTTGGACCACGGGTTGCCTTGACTGCTCCAATAGTTCCATACCTTACATTGAACCATTCCAAAGTCCGGTCATTCACCACTTCATCCGTGGCTTGACATCAATCAACAACATGGAATGATTGTTTGTTGGTAAGCCTTCGTCACCGGTTGGCCACACAAGGATTCGTAGGAGTGTGAACACAAATCCAATTTGCTCGGGGTCACTTCTGAATAGCTTTGTACCAAAGAAGTGCTGTCAAAACCATGCCATAAATGGCTCTCTCCACGACAACAAGAGAGGCAGGACGTCCCTTTTTGTATGTTAGGAAAGAGTCATATGTGTCAGGATCAAATTCGACAAGTAAGTCTGCAGGGTTCCTCTCATGATCATGAGGACCCTGTTTCACCTTGTTTGACTTTTGGTCATTGTGGGTTTGGATGAACGCATGTGGACATCCAGGGACATCACATCCCTATCTTCGAATGCATAGAGTGGGGGTTTTGCCCCATCTGCGAATTTAGAGTGGGGGTTTTGCTCCAGGAGCGACCAAACATACCCGTGCTAAGATATACCCTCCCTCCATCAAAACCCAACAACATGACGTAGCTTGGGCAGGGTCAGCATCCTCGTATTATAAGGGTGCTAACCCTGCCCAAGCTGTGTCGGTTTGACTTGTTTTGAAAATCTAACGATCGTGCTTAGTTAGGCCAAATGTTCGGGCCAAAATAGTGGCTTTTTTTTTTAGCACGCCGGCCATCTGGGATTGCTGGATACGTACCTACCTGGGAGCCATAGAGTTGTCGACGTGTGGACTTAGCCAAATCCACGAAGTCCTCGACAACCGACTTGTGCATACAGGAAAATGGGCACCGACACAGGAATCGCCACCAAAACACTAGGAAATAACACTGGAGGGATAAATCCGGTAGGAAGAAGTCGTTGCAGCAGCAATGTACGCACAAAACAATGAAGGAGTGCGATGACGGCTCTTGGGATAGTTCGAGAAATATAAACAACGCTATGGATGCTTCCCCATATCAATCAATCAATCAATCAAGCTAATCCGCTTTCCCAACAACTTGTGGTTCAAAAACCACATTATTTTCTTCAAGCGCTCGCTGGATGGCATGGATAAGGAATGAGATGTCGTTGTAGTTACCTTCACCAAGGGCATCACCTGGAAGAATCACCAAGCTGACATCTTCGTCACGCCCGACGCGATAAGTGACTTTGGGGTTTGCTTTCGTCACATTCCAACCCTCACCACGACGAGCCACATAAATATCATAGCCACACATGGGGATTGAACCAGGATCACGATTTGGGGGGTAGTTTTTTCCCTTGGAAGGAAAGGTCTTGATGAGAACGCCAAAGTTGATCTGTCCCACTGCTTCATCCATTTGTTCCGCAAACTTGGGATTTCTTTTTTCTCCAAATCATGTGACCAACTGAATTCGACGATTACATGGGGATTCATACGCCATTCTTTCTCATTGCCTATCCCATCAACCTCTTTCTTAGTTGGTCGAAGCTTACCAAGGAAGTTGTTTCTCAATCGTTCCTCCCCCCAAACAGCCAAATCGGGGTCCCTCGTGTATCCGCTATCATCAACAATGACAGCGAACCCTTGATCAGTATAAAGAGAGTCGTTCCCCTCCTTTTTGCAGATATCGACAAGGTCGTCAATTGCATTGATGGCTTCTTGATGCATGTCTGTTGGAGCAATTCTCAAGTCGGTCAATATTGTAGTCTTTGAGCGCGAACTTCTTGATAGCTTCGACCAGATCACGTTTCCCTTTTTAACCAATATAACGAGCCTCCTTTACTTCATCTGGGAGTCCCTCCTGATCAAGCACTTCCTCCTCCTCTTCTCCTTCACCTCCTTCCATTGCGGGCGGCAGCATTGCTGGAAGATGTGGTGTCGCTGCGTCCTGACCGTGCTGATGGCGGCGTATCAGGGTCGATGCTGCTCTTCTTGACGCGTCTTGGTGTTTCCATGGTGTGGGAATGGATCTGCATCGTCGTTTAGCTTTACTGGCCTACTAGCTAGTTTAAAGAGGGTTTCATAACTTACACATACAGTGTACTACGGATTCGGGGAGATCTGTCCTTTTCCATGCTCGGAAGCTGATTTCCCACCCTCTCAAGACAATTTCCGAGGTCCCGAAGCAAATTTTCCTTGAGCTTTACTTAAGGGACAGTGTCGACTCCGACTGTGCTTTAGGATAGAGTTTGTCGTGCACGCGTTGAGTGGTTTCACTTATCGAGTTTGGATTACCGCTCACGTAGAAACCTACAGAACCTATGTACCTGGCAGGAAAATCTCCTTCCCAGGGTGGGAAATCAGCTTCAGAGCATGGAAAAGGACAGTTCTTCCCGAATCCGTAGTAGGGCTCAGGTAGATCCTAGTACAAAAATGTTGGCTCACAACTCACTTTGAAGAAAGAGGTGTAAATGGTAGTCACAAGACTTAACACATATGGGGAATTTGAACCCTGGAAAGGAAGCAAATCAAACCAAAAATGGACTCTTTGGTTAAGATTGAGACTGGTGGTTAAGCCATAGGCGAACATGCTCAATACAAACAAGTTTAAGAATATTATGTTGAGTTAAGTGGTGTGGTGTTGAGCCAGAATAGCAGGAGTTAACAGAAGCTGTCGAACTTTTTACATTGACGAGTGCTGTTTCACTATAGTGCAAATTTTGATGGCTCACAACCCACCTAAAACTAGTACTGTGTTGTGAGGGGGTGCTGCCAAATGCACGACAAGAATGGATTGCAACGTCAATCTCGTATATCCCGACTCAGGTTTCGGGCAGCCCAGCTGACTTAACTTGTCATGGTGACAAGATAGGCACAATCGAAAATGGAAGCCGCTACCATGACCATCAGCGCTGTCATTTGACCGATTCAGGCGCTTCCGATGCGTGCTACCTACCTGTCAGATCTAGTAGGACTATGGACTGCAGCTGGATGTGAAGTTAACGCGGTTTTATACTGTTAATGACTATATTCTTACCGAAAATGGCACTTTTGCTGGTATTTCCCCGCTTCAGAGGTCCGTCGACTGCTCAATCAGAGTCGCTATCGAGCCCTACAAGGCTCGCATCCATCTGGTCCATGTCAGCCGAGGCCTGAGTCTATCCCTGACCGGTAATGTCCTGGTAAGAGCCCAGGGAACCGATAGAATTGCACTGAGCGGCCTTCTTGTCGTGGAGGTCGAGAATGGACTTCGACACATTCTTACCGCCAAAGATCATGAAAACTTGCACTTTCTGCATGCGGAAGGTCTTGATAATGATGCAGTTGTGCGACAATACCATTGTGGATTGATTAATCTAACGATCTAAGAGATGTAAAGTTTGTATTTCCAAATAAGTGAGGCAGTTATTGTTATTTTCTAGAATAGGCCTGCAATTATAAAGCTGTAAAGCTGAATTGTAAGCTGTATCCCGTCGCACTCCCTTACAGCTGAAATGAAGCTGTAGCAAAGAAACGATAGGAGAGAGTCCCCAGCAACGTCTGAGGTAGATTACCATCCCATGAGGAGCTTCCGAATGACTGCAAACTGTGGAGCTGGCAGACCTTAGTGAAGATGTCGGCCCGTTGTTCCAGAGTCGGAATGTACTTGGCCACGATGCCCTTCGACTCCCGATATTCGACCTAAGAAGTGGTACTTCAATGCCAAATACTTGTTGCGGGCTGACATCTTGGGAACATTCACAAGAGACAGGCAACTTGGTTGTCTTCGAACACTGTAGAGCGCACGAGACTGTCAGTAATTACCGGCATATGCAGTTTGGTACCAATTTCCTGAGCAGGGCTCGCATAGAAGCAGCTCCCTCATGGACATGCTGAAGGCAACATATTCAGCAGAGTGGAGCTCAGAGTAATGTCAGTCTGCAGTTGCTGGACCAAATGACAGGGATCCAAACAAAGTCAAGACAAAACCAGTGCAGCTTGACCGAAACAGGTCCTGATCATCCTCATATCCTACAACCCTGCGAAGTCACTCCACCCAACAATCAAGCCCTTGATCAAGTTTAGGGCTAAACAAATGCTTTGTCACTTGTACCAATTAAATATCGAACGATACGTTTGATGGTTGAGCGTGTGAGTGCTTGGGGTTGTGGCTGAATCTTGCCACCTGATGTACACTAAAAGTAATGTCTGGGCAAGTGTTGGATGCAATGTAAAGCAGCATCCCAACTGACGCTGGATAGCTCCACTCTTCGTCAAGGGGCACCAGTTTGTCAGCGCCAAGAGATCGGTGGCAGCAGGGGAGCTTAGAGCTAGCTTCAGACATCCAGTGTATCCAATAACCTTGTTGATAGAACCTTTTGAGTCAATTCAATTGTCTCCCTGTTTTCAAAATTATACCAAGAAACCCAAAGATGTCTCCCTTTTTCCATGGTGAGGTCATATCCAAGCTTCTGGAGCTGCCCACATAGGACTCAATCAGATCATTGTCCGGACTGGCCAGATTTGGTCATCACAATAATTTAATACCATGAGTTGTTGCTCCTTATGAATAAATAAACAGGATCTGCTGCTGAGGTTTCGAAACAAGTTGGACCATCCCACGACTAGATGCTCATAGAACAATTGGGTGAATCAGTCTGCCCATAAATGGACTTGTCAAGTTTAAAACACAGTCCTGTCCTTCATAATCTTTGGGTCGATAGTACTGAGGCAGTTCCAAGTACAATGGCTGATCGGCAGGGCTGAGGACTCTGACAGAAAGCAAGAGTAATCAACTTGTCTCGATTCCCATCATGTGCACTGCAAGAAGAAGACCGGTCTAACAGTGGGCCAACAACGAGTGGAGAGTATGCGGCCTTCATAGGACTGAAGGTCTCCTCTGCAGCACCATCTAGACTTGAACTTGTTCAACTGGCCATCTGGTAACCTCTTGATTCGTTGTACCCATGTTCCAGGAACTGCCTTGAGTGTGAGGGCATTGAAGAAGTTGTACGATGTGCCAAGTCCCTTTGCCTTCAGGCTGGAATTCTTTGTCAATTGCTGCCCAGAAGTGGTATGAATGTGGTCCCATCAGAGTTTCCTTCAGAGATGGGAGATCAGGGTCTCTTGGAAGTTTTGGCCTTGAAGCCAGTGGGCTTTCAAGAATGCCAGGATGGACGATTCCTGGGTGTTGGTCAAGGGTGAATATCCAGTTACCTGAGCTTGCAGCATGTGCCCTGAAATTGGAGTGATTCCAAAGGTCATAGCTAAAGCAACAACTGAGCAGGGATGAAGGGCGTGCATAAGTTTCAGTTTTGGGTCCATGTCAGAGTCTCAGGCTTCTTGTTGTGAGCTGTCCTACTGGAATTCCGACGTGGTGCAGCGACAGGGATTGCCACGATGGGAACATCTGTGGAGGGGGCATGTTACACTTTGTCAAATT